GTCTCTTCTATTCCACTAGGTACATAGAACACAGAGTATCAAACAGGAATAGATGGAAAAGTTCTGTAGCATTTTGCAATATTGAGTACTCAGATACTGTAGATTAGTCATGTACAACTGTACCACTGAGGAAGCAAGTCTTCATTTGGCACTCCTTAGTTAGGCAGATAACATAAACATAGGGCAATTAGGTGATGGGTCTGGAGTCAGGAAGATTAATCTTCTTCCTAAATTAAAATCTGGCCTCAGACACTTACTAGCTGTGTGACCCTGGACGAATCACTAAATTCTGTTTCCCTCAGTTTCCTCGTCTGTAAAATGAGATGAAGAAACGGCAAACCAGTCTAGTATCTTTGCCAAGAAAACTCAAATGGGGTCACAAAGTCAGGCAAAAGTGAAAAAAGATTGAAAGAAAAAAGGGTCTCTCTGCCACTAGGAATTGTTTATCTTTAATGCCCTGGATTTCATGCTTTCGCTCTCTGACCATGGGTTTTCTTCCCTTCTAACCAACTGTTTATAATCCATTCCAACTCCCTTATTTTTCATATGAGGAAACTCTTGCTTAAACGGTTTTGCCCCCTGCCTTTATCTTATCCCCATTCTAATTTCACTTAACTGTCTCCTACCCAACCTGAATCACGTAGTCAACCATTTCAGTGATTCCCTTTCTGTTACCATAGAATTCTCCCACCTTACTTTGATCTTTCCCTGGGCCACATCAGTATTCTTTGTTACTCCTAATGCTTTTTGTATTTCTGAGTACTAAAGCATTTCAAGAGAGTTATTGAACAATGTTACTAGATCCGACATAAGTATATACACTCTAACCATGATCAGCCCATGTGACTGGATAATCTTTTATTCATTTATTATGAGTCCATGTCATATTCCTCATGGTGCTCTAAATTTTTACTAAACTCCTAAATTATGACTATACGCTGTAGCAACTCTAACGAGAACTATTTCTATCAATTCTGGAAGATTTAAAATAAGAAAATAATCAGTTTTCTCTGTTCATTTCCATTCCAACATTTGGCAGCAAAGACTTCTCCAAATGAGTGTTTAAATGGTAAATCAGTATCCACATTAGGGTGTCATTCAGTCCAAGAACACTTATGTACTAACTATGTGCTTGGCACTATGCTAAGTTTTGAGGCTATAAAGAATAACCAGTGAGAGCCCTTGCTTTAGCAGAAAGGGAAGAACTCTGCATTATCTCTGTCTCTACACGCACACACACACACACACACACACACACACACACACACACACACACAAAATTTACAGTGAACTGGAGAGGGGGGCTGCAGTAGTCCACCAAGTCTGCATCTGGATTGAAGTTTTGACATAGTACCTTCAATGATGTTTTCTCCACTTTATCCTTTTGCTTAAGAAAACTTCCTTCTCTGTCATGTATAAAGAATACTGCCCCTCCCTCTCTTGAACTTCTGGAGGACTTAAAGGTGTTAATTGTTGGAGAAGCAAGGATTTTCCCCTACCTCTACTTCCAAATTTGTCCTTCAGAATTTTTAAGAACTCTTATTAGTTGAAGAGTTAAGAGAAAAGGGGAATTGGGGAAGGAGTCTGAGACCCTATGGCAGACTTTTAGCCTATTTTCATAGAGAAAGGAGCCTGACCTTCATGGTCTTAGTTGGATTCCTGAGAAAAATTTATCATACACAATGATCATAAACCATACCCCCCAAAAACCCCCCAACACAAAACCAAAAAAAAACCCCAAACCAAAAAACAAACCAACAAAAAAACCCCCAAAGTTTGTTTATGGCCTGAATTTCTGATTTAACCCAACTCTCCTGAACTAGATTTTTTTGTTTGTTTGCTTTTGTTTTGTTTTTTGGAGGCAGTCAGGTTTAAGTGCAGGGTTATGTGACTTGTCCAGTATGTCACAGCTAGTATTAAGTATCTGAGGCTGAATTTGAACTCAGGTCCTCCTGACTCCAGGTCTGGTGCTCTATCTACTGTGCCTCCTGGATGCCCTCTGAGCTAGTAGTTAATCTCTAATCAAGGGTTTAGAACCTAGGGTTCTTGAACTTTTAAAATATGTTGATAACTTTTTAAATATAATTGATTTCTTCTGTAATTGTATGCATTTTCTTTTATGCATTTAAAAATATTATTTTTAGAACGGATCCATGGGATTTACTAGACTACCTAAGGGGTCCACAATACAAAAAAAGTAAATAGGTTAACATTTACTCAAGAGCCGTTTGTTTAGTACTTTCTGTGTTGCATCTATGACATTTTCAAGCAAGCCACTGTCTAGGCCTAGAACTGGCCCTGACACAGTGCCTTAAATTCCCAATCCCATCATGATTCTTAGTAGATGTTATGATTTCCATTTAAAAGAGATTATAGCTTTCCAGCAATATCAACTGTACTTCTTTTCCAAAACAAATTTTGTCCCTATTACTTTCTATTCTCTCTTCTTTTCCTCTTCTCTAGCAGGATAACATGTCTCCCCTTCTTTTCACAGGCAAATTCCTCTAACTGTATCTCTTGATATAATTACTCCCTAGGTACTCCGGAACCTCGTTCTATCATCCTCAGTCCCTTCTATCTTCAAATTTTCCCTCTCCATTAGCTTCTTCTCTGTATACAAATATCTTCTATCCTAAAATTTAAATTCCTTCAACCATTCTGCTATCTCCAATTGCCATAATATATTTTTTCTCCTTCCTTTGACTTCTAAACTTCTCTTAAAGGTCATCTACACTAGCTGTCTTCACTTCTTTTTCATTGACTCTGACCACTTACTTGTTAAATATAATTTTTTAAAGTCCTTCTTGTCCTTGACTTTAATATAAAATTGGAAATTCTCTGCTCCTTTTGCTTATGTGACCCTCCAGCTCTCTGGTTCTACATAATTTTCCATATCCACTTCTTTAATGTCTATAGTGATTCTTTTTCATCTTGTATTTTCCTAAGTGCAAGCTTTCCTCAAGAATTTGTATTTTTTCCTTCATAATTTTTATGATCTCCATATACCCTATATGTGTAAAGCCCAAATATTTATATTTCCAGCTTGGATATCCATCCTGTGGTTGAATATCATATTACTAAATATATACTAGTCATTTCCACCTGTATTCTGTTCTTTTGTTTTAACTTCAGTATGCCTATGTCTGAGCACATTTTCCCCCCATTGCACCTCCTCAGGTCCTCCTCCCAAAAACCCTTTGGATCGTTCTGAAGATATCATCAGTAATACTTCCAATCATAGAATTTCAATACCTGGTTGTCATCATTGTCCCTTAAATTGTATTACTTCACATAATGTCAATTTGGGGGGGCGGTTTGGTTAGTTTTGTAAAATCGGGTAGTTTCTCCCTTTTTCATTCTGTTTTAAGGGATGATTCTTTGACAGTGGAGCAAAGGAAGTAACAGTAGCAAACTGGGTGATGTAAGAAAAAAATAATAAATTATTAGTATTTAAAATTATATAAATTCTTACTCTTCTGTGTTTCTCATATTCAGATCATTCTTTCCTATTCTCATTGCTATTGCCATAGCACAGATCCATATTACCAGATGTTAAGAACACAGACTCTATTCTCTCTTTTCTATCCTGACCATTGCCAGGATAATTCCTCTAAAATGCCATTTTGATCATGTAACTCCTCTGAACCCAAACCTTACACTGTCCCTCATTGAATACAAGATTAATTTTTACTTTCCACCCGACTGTTCAATTTTTCCAAAATGATCCGTTAGCCGTCTTACTTCCCAGTCTTTGTTCATGTTATTGGCAAGTAAAACATAGCTTCCAACATTCTCCACCTTTGTGAACACTGCCCCACTTCCTTGAAGACCATGTGTTAGCTCCATCATGAAGTCTTTCCTGGTCAATTCAAAAAGAAATCATCTCTCCCTTCTGTAAATCATTCAAGGATTTTGTTTACACTATGCATATAAAATATGCTTCTTTGTCTTACAATTTTTTCTGTCCTTATGTCATCCAACCAAATATGCGAGAAATTTTATGAAATCAGGGTCATGCCTCATTATGCAACTTATTATCACACATTGCTGTGTGCATAATAGGCTTTTTTTTTTTGCTTTTTGGTTAGGCAGTGGGGTTAAGTGACTTGCCCAGGGTCACACAGCTAGTAAGTATTATATGTCTGAGGCCAGATTTGAACTCAGGTCCTCCTGAATCTGGGGACAGTGCACTATCCACTGTGCCACCTAGCTGCCCCAGCATAATAGGCTTTCAATAAATATTGAATGAGGGGATGAGAAGAGTAACCCAATCTGTAAATTTTTGAGGCCTTCTCTCAGTCCAGATTCTGGAGATAATACTGATAATTGTTTATAGCAGACATATATAAAATCTAGTTTTAAAGGAAATTTTAGCCTTTTACAAAATATCTGACTTTTCAAAGTGCTTTTAAATTCCTTAAAACACCCACTTGTGTCATATCATATTGCTGTTAGTTGTTTCAATTGTGTCTGACTCTTTGTGATCTCTTCTAGGGTTTTCTTCGCAAACTTACTGGAGTGGTTTGCCATTTCCTTCTCCAACTCATTTAACAGATGAGAAAACTAAAGCAAACAGGATTAAGTGACTAGTCCAGGGTCACACAGCTAATAAGTGAATGAGGCCAGATTTAAACTCAGGTCTTCCTTACTTCCAGGCCCTGTGCTCTGTCCATTGCACCACCTAGCTGCATCCCATGTGAGATTAGCCAGTGCATTAATTCTTCAAACATTTGCTGAGCATCTAGTGTGAGTGGCACACTGCCAAGCCGTGATACAGTGTCCCTGATGCTGATCAAAATATAGAAGCTAAAATGATTTTGTATTTTTTTATTAACAAAATGTATCTATCTGTAATTATCATGGAAATAAATGATTTAAGATAATGTAGAGAAAACAACAATTCTTTAAGAGTAACTATAGTTTTAATAAACTTAAAAATATTCATTAGACAAATATGTAAGCAAAGGATAGCAAGATTATTCAATTAAATTTAGACTTACCTTTCCTACATATTGATAATCAGATCCTGTATATTCTTCAAGTAAGAAAAATTGATTCCACATCCAACCACGTTTTTGACGGTGCAGCACTTTTCCATCTCTCCCTGCTGTGCGTGCTCTTACAACTTTTGTTTGGGGCTCAGAAGTCCTTCTAAACAACATCTCTGTAGAGGAGAAATTTGGCAGGCACACCCAGAGCAGAAATAATAGTATAACTTGGTATATTGTCATAGTGATCCAATTGCTGACAGGTCACGATGTGGTTGATAGGAGAGCAGCAATGTGCTTCTGGATTGCTTTTTGATGAGTTTCTAGTAGGTGGGGTATCCAATTGGTTTCCAACAGTTAATCATTATTTTATTCATATTTCCCAGTCTTCAAAAATAAACATAAGAAAATATACTGTCAGTTGAAAATATTATGAATAGTTGCATATTACTTCACATTCAAGTTCAGAGTTAATTTATTTCACACAGCAGCTATTGAAACGGGTTCTTATTCCATGTGGTAATAATTTCTTTTGAAAACAGCAATTATCTGCTGACTTATATATGAATGGAAGAAACATTAATGTAACTAAATTCTTTCAAATTATATAGAGAAAAAGCATTGAACAAATCAGTGTTCTTTAATTGATCTTTTCCTAATACCACTTGTCTGAAATAGTTTAAAAAAGTCATGTTTAAGATAGAAGCAGGGTTAGATAACCTTAAAGTTACCTTTTACTTCTAGGAGTATGTGATTACATATAATTAGATGGTTAATATGTAATTAGATAAAGGTATATCTTTATGTTATAAGTACTTTCCCCAAATACTATATTAAAATACAACTGTTAATGAATGTGTCACATTTTAAATGCATTAAGGAAAGATACTATTCAATTATCCTAAGTAAAGAATTAAAGAATTATAATGTAATCCACTAGCAAAGCATTGAATCTTATTCTACTTATCTCTGACTGGAGGAAGAGCAAGGGTTAAAGGGAAACTCATTTGCCTTAATGTCTCAGGTCAACTACATGGTAAAAAGGCAATAGGTCTCAGTCTGTTAAAAGTGTCAGAGGGCCAGAGGCAATGTTATCAACACACAAGACCATAGTTCAAAACATCCAGAAATCAATCGATGTCCACATCTGCTAGATATAGTAACAGTGAGTTCAAGTACTAGGGGGAAAAATTACAGTAGAGAAAGACATAGGTTAAATTGTGGTATTATTATAAAGAAGAAAAAAAAACACCTAGCCAAGCAGAAGCAATGCAGAATAGTAGCTCAGAGGCAGCAAATAGTTGCTAAAGAGTGCTTAGGCTACGTACAAGAGGACCAGGGCCCAGAGTAAAAGGTCCTAAAGCCATAGATGTGCATAGTACAGGATTGAGCAGTAGAATTATTGAATGCCAAAGGAAGTCATTCCTACCTATTTTGTTTAGCAGATATGATATCACATGTGATGGTAATATATTATGGTACACATGTTATCACATATGGTATCGATGAATCTTTTTTGAAAGCAAGCAATTATCCTTAATTTTTTGTTTTAATTTAGATGTTCACATATGCTTAAAGAAAGGTTCACTTTTTATCTAAAATACTGGACTACATTGTTAAATCATGTTGCTTCTATTTCAGTGCTATCCCTCAACTTAATTTATGAGTGATCCAGTATTTTTATTATGCTTTTTATGAAGATGCCCCAAAGGCTAATGCAGAATGATTGCAAAAACAAGAGTAATGACTGAAACCATAGTTCCCTAGGGTAATAAATAGCAAGAGAGTATCACTCTCATCAGAGAAATATAACAAGGCAGAAGTAAACCCTCCTATTAAAACAAATCTTAGGATTTAATACTTGTAGTATAAAAGGAGCTCATTGTATTATGTAGACTCAGTGATAAAAGAAAAAGGGTTTCATTTAATGTGGAGGTATGACAAAATGATTAACCCAAGTTTTCTTTGTATGTACCATCAACATTCTGAGTGCCGTTTTCTGATAATACTCGTCTGTCTAAAGAGCTATCTTTACATATAAGTCTCCTGTAGCTGAGACTTTGCTGTGCAGTGAAATGATAATGTATCATATTTGCAAAACCTCTTACTTCAAATTTTATATTAAAGAAAATTCCATGTGAACCATACGTTAATGTGGTGATTGGAATTTGAGATGGTTATTCATTATAAATATAGTATACTTTCACAAGCACTAAAAAAAATATCCAAACAGCAAGTTTTTGGTAGACAGTGAAGATATTTTTATAGTGTGTCAAAAACAACAATGGGGGCTGCATATAGTGCCTGACTGCTTTTTGTTATTGTCACTAGTTCTATTTCTAAACCTCAGTTGGCCAAATTGAATTTGCATTTATCTAATGCAAATCTAATGGAATCATACATAAATATAAGTAGTGATTTAATATTCTCTTAATGTACTTTAATGGTAGGACATTTATTTTAAAAATTTAAACAATGGAAGCATGCAAATCAGATAATATTTTGACATAATAAAGGGTTGAATTTGTCTGTGATTTGATTCTTCCAAATCTTACTGAATATGGGCTGACCTTCTCTGGGGAGCTAAGTATATGAGCCTATTTTGTATAATATGCATAATGATCTCAACATTCGATTTCAATTACCCACATTTGGAACCTCAAAATTATCTTTTGACTTCTACCACACCTGTGAGGTCATAATCTTGTAAATTCTTCTTTTTTTGAATTTGTCAGATCCAGTTCTTCTCAAAGCTGTCACTTTACTCAAAGCCCTTAAATTATTCCTGCACTGTTAAAATAGGTTCCTGCCTAGTCTCTCTGCCCTTAGTTCTTCTTCTTTCAATCTAACCTGCAAACCAGGGCAGTGTGGTGCAATGGAAAAAGGACAAGCTGTGAATTAGGAAACTTTGGTTAAAGATACCATCATGGGTAGAGTGTTAGACTCAGAGTTAAGAAGTTGTTCAGTCCTTTTTCAGTTATATCTGACTGTTCTTGACCCTATTTGGGGTTTTCTTGGTGAGGATACTGGTTTGGCAGTAAAGAAAAAAGCATTTGTTATTTCCTTCTGGAGTTCATTTTATAGATGAAGAACTGAGGCAAACAGGATTAAGAGATTCAGCCTAGGTTCAAATCATCCTGCTCAAGCACTTACTAGCTGTGTGATGCTAGACAAATCACTTAATCTGTCTAGGCCTCAGTTTCTTCAGGTGTAACACGAAAAGGTTGCTTTCCATAATCTCTAAGATCCGTTCCATTCCATAGACACTCTGAATTTAGGATTCTGTGATCTCTGCTTCTATCATTTGCTACCTGACTAACCTTGAAGGAATTACTTTGCTTCTCTCATTAATCAGGGGGTGGAAGAACATTATTTCCAAATGTAAGTATGCTAGAGCTATCGCTAACTGGCTCCAGAGCTTATGGTTAAATTTTCAGTGTGAACACTTACACCTTAGAAATCAGCAAATGTTACAAATCTGGCCTTTATTTATTGTTTTGTTGGTTGTCTATTTAAGAAAGTGGTAGAGAAAATGTCAACAATGTAGATAAAGCTTAAAAGTAAATCCCTGAGAACATTTCCCACCCCCATACCCCACCCCCTGTCCTCTGTCCTCTGTCCCCTGTCCCCTGTCCCCGCCCCCTCCACCCAATTAAACATTTACCAACGTTAATTACCTTCCCTTTCTGTTACAAACCTTAGTTCACAATTGAATCAATTTGGTCAGATAAGAAGAGGCAAATGTAGATAGAAATGTAGATAGAAATCACTAATAACCACAGAGGCTAGTTATCTTCTGTGGGTGTCCTTATTTGGTTGCTCATTATGGCATTAGAAGGTATCTGTTTGTTTTGTCTTCATTTGCAAAGGATATTGGTTCTCTTAGCAAGCTAAGGCTAAGTGATTAGGCCTCGTTCAGATAAGTGTCATTTTGGCAAAAATTGACCAGCTTCCAAATAAGTCTTGGATATGGTGTGACGTGTCCTAGGTTAAGACAAAATGAACCCAGGTAACATTTTCACAGACTAGGTGGTTCCTTTGTGTTATGTGAACTATAGCTAGGAAGGTTACCCTTGAGCATGAGATGTGTAGTTACATTCCTGAGTTCCTAACAGATCAATTATACCTGTTATAACAATGATCTTTCTCCTCCTTTGAGGTACAATAGTTAGAGGTACCATTTCTAAAGCTGTATGGTGGAATAATATAATATCATTACATCATTTGCAAATGCTTTGAGGACAAGGCTTTGAGACAGGGTATTATATGTCTTGTATTCCCTGTAGTGCCCTTATATATTGTAATATATACAGCCCTGTCCATAAAATTCTTTGAATGGATGAATGCTTTTTTTAAAGTGACATTCTGATTCCTTGAAATGTTTTCATAGTATTTAGCCTAAGTCTTTCTTTTTCTGGGTTAAACTACATTCCCTTATTTTGTTCTCAGAAATTATGGGCCTATTATTTCCTACATAAGAGTCTTTCATAAGGTTGAAGAATTATTAAATCATCTCTCAAGCTTTTCTATTTCACTCTTCTCCATAAAATTCCTATGATGGTCCTAAACTTATAATCATCTTTATAGCTCTCCTCTGAATGTCTTCCAAGTTCTTTCCATCTTTCTTTTGCTATGGAGAAGAGAAATAGACAGAGAAGTCTGGTTAAGATATACAATGGGGAAATAATGGGAAAATTGCCATTGACTTTCCACAATCTATTTTTCTCTTCAACTTAATACTTTGCTTGTTTTTTCCAATATCAGCAGTATATTCCTGGTTCAAGGTTGCTTTTATTTTTCTTTCTTTCATAGTTTCCAGTCTGCTTTTTTCTTCCCATCAGACTAACCAGCTATATCAAATTAACTTTTACTTGGCAATTGACCATTTATAATTTATAATCAATTGTGCTACTGCATACATATATGTGTATGCATATATGTATAAATGTATGGGTATGTAGCAGCATGCTTGATTATATATATATGTACACGGTGAATTATCTTTAGTTTTAATTAACTGTGCATTTCCCACAATTTTGACTCCTATTTTCTAACATTCTCATCACCATTATACATCATTCTGTCCTTGTACCTGATTTATCTATAAAGTTAGTTGTTATCTTGACAGGCGAGTACTTTGAATCATACATGAAATATTTGTTACTTTTGGTATTTTTGAACTATTTCTTTGGCAGATATATATGTGTGTGTGTGTGTGTGTGTATGTATGTTCTCTTTCATTATTCAGTTCATTAACAGAAAATATGCTAAAGACAACTGCACCTGGATGAAATTTTTTCTTATACTGTACTTGTATATACATTCACCCATGGAAATTGAAGTGATTTTTGATAATGTAAAAAACATTTACATTTCTGGCATTGAAA